TATATATATATATATTGCCTAGAAGGACATAATAAAACCAAACGAAGATGCAGAATTTAGTAGAAATGAATGCAATGAAAGTGTAATTTCTATATAGAGGTAGTATTTTTTTACAGTTTATTTAGGAGTTGTAATATTACTTTTAGGAGAAAACAGTTATGCTGTCCAGTCAAAACGGCAACACTGCAATCTGCACTTTTTACAAATACTTAGCAACATCAGTAACTACACCGGCCTCCTAATAACTACAGAACATGAAAAGGTTAATATTCCAGAAGCCAGATTAAACTACATTTCAGAGTGAACTCTCTCTTTTGCTCAGTAAGATTCTCTATTTCAAGTGGAGGTTAGAAAATAAAGTGATTATTTCACGTGGACACCACAAACAGCTCTGCTTTCAAGCAGTTTAATAAGTGAACAAAACGCTATGTACTTAGTTTATTTAAAATATAGATTAATATATTGATAAGTCTCACTCACTCTGTTTCAGTAGTTCTTTAAGTTATCCTTTCAACATAACAAAATACATTTTAAATAATATGCACTAGATCTCACAATATTATACAGCTTACAAAATATGTGTAATTAATAATGAAAAAGAGCTAAAAAAAACAAACCAAAAGAATGTCAATCAATAGGTTTATGGTCAATACTATGTATAGCATAGTTTAACTTAATTTCATCTTTGCTTCACCAGTCTGTCTCAGAGTTCAACCTGTTCTTTAGGATAAGTAGTAGTTGGAAGCATGAACACAATAATGGCTGTTGAGAAGACTATGTCTAGACATGCGGGCTGTGTACATCACCTGGGATTTCCCAATCACACCACAGCAGTTAAGGGTAAGTAGACAAGTTAAGAAAGTTCCACTGCTTCACACTGGCCAAGGAATAAAAATAGATATTGAATGGATGACAGCCAGCCATAATAGTGATAGTATTACTAAGCAAAATGTGGAGATGTTGTGCACTCAACACTGCGCTAGAACAATACACCTATATTTTAAAGCACCATCAATATAAACAGTTCAGCTAGCACTCACTAGACAAAAATGGCAAAGAATCCAAATGCAATTATATTACATGGAAATAACTCTTTTCTGTAACAATGTTTTTGGACAAGTAGTACAAACGGGACTTAAATAAATGGCTGCAGTCATCCCCATACATTATAGGAATCCATGCCCTAAGATGCCACTGGACCACCAAGCATTTGCAACTAATGTGCGATTAATCAAACTACTGTATGAAAACATTTTATTTTTGACAACCAGTTGCTATTAATTTCACAACAGAAATCCTTCTCCTTCAAAAAATGTATAATTTTGAATATGCAAAAACTGAACTGTGAACATTGTGTACTGTACTATGATATTGTTAAAAACTATTTACAATATACACCTTCAGAGTATCTAAATTAGTTATTCCTTTGCTAGGCAAAGAAAAACTGTATTCATACATTACACCATAGCCTTTCACTCAAAAAAAGTTAATTTTGCGATGTACTTTTGCTTTTAATTCGCAAAATATATCATAGCCATAACATTGGTTAAGATACTCTAAATAATTATTTCATTTCTGATGAGACTTATCAAAATACAGACTTAAACTCTCATTTCTGTATGAAAACCAGTCATTCAGTTTTCCACTGGGAGTTGTAAGCTTGCTTTGAGTGTTCTTTAAAAGAATTAAGTAGTAAGAGTTTTAGGAGATGTACCACACTTGAAAAGTAGGCAGCAGTTAAGGATTAGGAAATGTTAAAATGATAATTGTGTTTGCTTTTAATGGAGAGAAAAGAACTAACTATATAACTTAATATCTTAATTCATGTGATCTAGGAGTACATTATTAAGGCGCAAATACAAACAGATTAAAGAAACATGAGAAAGTGACACCATGGACCACCTCAGTGTTAAATGAATTCAGATAACATTCAGTTGTCTTGGCTTACAATTTAAATACATCAAGCAGCTAAATTTATATTACTCCTAATAAAAATAAAAATTGATCTACTGTAGTTACCTATGCAAGAACACAGTGCAATAAATACAATATTCTAGCAATAAGACTTATGGTGAGCAAAAAAAACATTCAACAACATTTTAGCAATTTTATAAAGATCAGGTGTACATGTTTTCCAGACATAAACACAAACAAGACATACATGCAGTCTTATCTATCTAAAGTGCACAAAGAACCATTACAAATATATTTTTTTTAAACTACAATAATTAAGATGACATTACAAAGTAAAAAAAAAAACTGTTTGACATATTTGAAGTAATTTTCACATGAACATGTATTTTATAAGGAAACCATATATAAACCTCTCATTTAGAAAAGTTTTCCAAATAATTTGTACTGCTTTAAATGTTACAGATATGTTCATGTTTATTTTAATTAGTCCCTGTAAGCGTCAGTATTTAAATATACATAATCCGGAACAGTTTCTTTACTTAAAAAGAAAATCAATCTAGAGTGGAAATAAATGAACAGAAAATTCTTCCTGATTACCTCATCTCAACCCGAAAAATGAGACCTTGAGGTCTGATATATCTTGTGTGAGCAATATCATTCACCCTAGCCTTTGCTCCTCTTTGTAATTGGAGATCACAGGTGCAAGAGTGGACTTCCACTAGGCTATCTATTTGAATGACAAATGCCTGTGAAAAAGTAGAATACAGAGCACTCTGCCCTACCATGCAGCCAGCGGTAGCAACATTACATGCTTATTTACAAGAAAATCATTACACTGGGTGCTTTCTGCTCTGTTTTCATTATCACTTACAACTGCACCTATGGTTGTCTTGTTCTGCATTTGCAACTGTCTGCTAAGCTCGTGTACTAATTCCATATACAATGCACAGATGAAAATAACATCAAAAGCAACTGGAGACCAAAACATGAAACTGCAAACAAGCCAAAGCTCCGAAGAAGAAAATAGTTGCAGTGGAGAAAATTATTTTTTAGAAAAAGAATAATATTGTTTTAACAACCACCAAAATATTACCTGTTCATTAACAGATGGCCTTGGGTGTTTAAGTATTGTAGGCCGCTCCAGCTAGGAATGAGTTAAAAGAGGTAGATTTTTCCTAATTCATACACATCTACAGTATGAAAGCTTTTGGTACCTTGGGCTGCCCTTTGAGCAACCTAATATGACAAGTACATACAAAGGAGCAGAAAAGCACTACATATTAATAAGAGGGGGACATTGGTGTCTTGGACAGTAAAATTAAATACCTAGACAGACTTACCGAAGAGCTTGCTGGGAGTGTCCTCACCATCATTTGATTCCACAGGAGCAAGCAGGGGCTCGTTCAGCTCACTGTCTGAAGTAGCTGCCTTGTCCTCACCTCTCGACTCTGCATTCATCTCACTCCGAAGCAGCAGCAGAGGCTTGCTGACTTTTCCGGCTATCATTGGATCCTGGTGATGGGGGGGAAATAAAGAGTGAGGGAAATAAGGAAGTAAAGTGGACGCTGTGGTGTTGGTACACTCTCCCCAACACCTTCCCCCCTCACTGTCTCTCCCTTACACACACACACACACTCCCGTCTCTCTTATCTCCCCAGCTGCTCCTGTTGTTATTGCTGGCTGCAGTCAAGTGAAGAGCTATTACAGATCCAATGAGTTTTCCATTACACCCCACCCTATTAAAGCTCAACTATCATGTGAAAGATTCAGAATGCTTTCGGGAGAGCAAACTTCTTTGAAAGCATGCTTACAATCATCTGTGTATATGCATGATATAACAGGCTGATTCTTCACACTACTCTATGACAACAAGGCATCTGTGGCTA